AGGAAACCCTAGACCATTTCGGACAAATGGCTGTCCAGTCTCTTCTTAAAGACTTCCAGTGTTGGAGCATTCACCGCTTCTGGAGGCAGGTGGTTCCACTGGTTAATTGTTCTCACTGTCAGGAAGTTTCTCCGTAGTTCCAGGTTGCTTCTCTCCTTGATGAGTTTCCATCCATTGCTTCTTGTCCTGCCTTCTTCAGGTGCTTTGGAGAATAGCTTGACTCCCTCTTCTTTGGGGCAGCCCCTGAGATACTGGAAGGCTGCTATCCTGTCCCCCCTCGTCCTTCTCTTCATTAAACTAAACCTACACAATTCCAGCAACCGTTCCTTATATGTTTTAGCTTCCAGTCCCCTGATCATCTTTGTTGCTCTTCTCTGCACTCTTTCCAGAGTCTGAACATCTTTTTTACATCGTGGTGACCAAAACTGGATGCAGGATTCCAAGTGTGGCCTCACCAAGGCCTTGCTGTAACCACTTAAACTTAATAAAAGTGAACCTTTCACTTCAGCAATGGAGTCGAGGGTCTTTCTTTCCTAAGTGCCCCAGTTGGGCCAAGACTGGCAGGGGGACCCCGGACCCCCTCCCCAAAGACGCAGAGCGCCCACAGAAGCGTATCTTCCCTGATCCCTTGGAGACGAGACTCCTTGAAGCCTCACAGGTCCAAAGGAAGAACTGGGAGGACCTCTCAAAGTCAAACGCCCAGCCCAGGAGGGAAATGGCCCAGGCAGGAGCCTCCAGAGGCTCGTCCTATTGCTCTCTGATAACCTTCCAGTCTCTTCTGTGGGCAGATAAGCTGCCCCTGGCTTGTGAAGCTCTAACATCTCCCTTCCTTCCTTTCCTCTTAGCAAGGCTTTCCAGCGTGAGCAAACAGCTCTCCCCCACCAGGTGGGATCCCAGTTGGCCCACCACCCATGCATGGTCCTTACTGTCCAGAGGGAGGGAGCCCTGCAGTGGCTACCTCAGTTTTGGGCCCCCAACCCTTCAACATTTTCTTAGAGGAGGGGATAGAAGGGAGGTGTACAGAATTAGCGGATGACACACAATTTTTTTGGGAGGGGGGATTGCTAGCAACCCAAGATGCAGGCTCAAGGTTCACAAAGTTTTTGATGGACTTGAACATAACAACGAGATGCTGTTCAGTGATCAGGAATGTAACTGGCTGCACTTAGGAAAAACCCGATGCAGGATGGGTGGTGCCTGGCTTAGCAGTGGTCCTTATAATAATAATAATAATAAAGTTGGAAGGGATCTTGGAGGTCATCTAGTCCAACCCCCCTGCTCAGGCAGGAAACCCTATCCCATTTCAGACAAATGGCTGTCCAGTCTCTTCTTAAAAACTTCCAGTGTTGGAGCATTCACTGCTTCTGGAGGCAGGTTGTCCCACTGGTTAATTCTTCTAACTGTCAGGAAGTTTCTCCTTAGTTCCAGGTTGCTTCTCTCCTTGATCAGTTTCCATCCGTTGTGGAGTTGGTCTAGTCTGGGTAGATTAAACATGGCCCAGCAGTAGGTGAAAGGAAAACACCAGCCTCCTTTGGAATATTTAGGAGCATTTAGGAAAGAAAAGCCAAATGAACAAGTATAGAATAGGTGGTACCTGGCTCAACAGTAGTAATTGTGAGAAAGATCTTGGAGTCCTAGCAGACAATCACTTAAATATGAGCCCGCAGTGGGCAGCAACTGCCAAAAAGGCCAACACACTTTATTAACAGAGGGAGAAAATTAAGATCATGTGAAGTTCTAGTACCACTTTACAAACCCTTAGTAAGTCCACACTTGGAATACTGTGTCCAGTTCTGGTCACCACAATATAAAAAAGGTGTTGAGATGCTGGAAAGAGTGCAGAGAAGAGCAACCAGGAGGATGGGGGGGGG